GGGAAGGGGGGCTACGGTGAATTTTGAGGTGGCTCTAGCCTCTCCCCAGCTCCCCTCTCCGTGCCTCTGCCACCTGCCGTGAGTGCATCTCTGGCCCAACCCCCCCACCTGGAAGAGCCCAGCACCGCTTCTGGCCCCAGCCGGTAGAGGCAGCTCTGCCTCGTCCCACATGCGGATCTGGGAGACACGTGCCCCCTGTACCTTCCGGAGGTGCATGCAGTGATAGGAGCTGTGGCCCCCAGATGAGCCACCCATGGCTCCGTCCTGTGCCCCACCTGTCCCCTGCCGGGCAGCCCCAACCCAGCCCCTGCTTAACTCCCTCCCTCACCACGCAGGTCTCAATTTCCCTCCCCTCCCAACAGACCTATCAGCCAGACGCTGTTCTCCAAGCTGCCCGGCTGCCTATCGGCAATCAGATCGGTATTGGCTGATGTGGCTCATTAATAATTTGCGATTGGTATCAGCTCAAAACATCTTTATCAGTGCACCCCATATAATTTGGTATTTTCTGGTTTCAAAATGGCAAACCCCTAGCCAAAAGGAGTACTTCCAGGGGCAAGGGGAGGGACTTCCATTGGTAAAGGTCAGGTTAGGGGGCAAAACTTACAGTTCCAAGATGGTGACCAGGGGGTGTGGCACCTGTCAAGGGGCATGGCTACCTTTGCAACCCTCGACAGCTCACCAAAACCTGTTAAGTGGCCCTCTAGCCAAAATAATTGCCTGCCCCTGCTCTACATAGATGTCCTTTGACCATCAGATGATATTAGATACCAGGAGGGAAATTGACCAGCAGAACTACTGGTAGTATAACTATACTGCTGGAGCTGTGTTGGCATATCTCTGTGTGGACACTGTATTTTGTAAGAAGTTGATGTGGCTCCATTAGGAGCTGTGCTGGCATAACAACATGCTGTATCCCACTCTCTGAACCTGGATGGGGTCGTGTGTGCATTTGAGACACACTTCTGGAGTGTTCTCACACCTTTGAGGTTGCCCTTCTGCCCCAAACCCTTCTGTGCCGTCTGCTTCTTGACTGTTGAGAAGACTGAGATGCTCCAAAGGTCACCTTCCTCACCTCTGGCACTTTAGCTTTACCTGCCTCACCTAGCAGAGGGGACTTTGCCATCTATAAGAATCACACCCTTATCCAGTCATGTGCTCCAAAAAGAGGCTTGCCTGTTTTCGTTATCCATTATCATTGACAGTAAGTGGGTTATAAAAAGATAAAACTTTATATGAAAAAGCAAAAACAAGCATAAGAAATTTGTAACCATGTGTAGAGAGAGAGAGAGAGAAGAAGAATAAGTAGAGGGGCTACTAGACCAATAACCTTTTTTACCCGGCACCTCTACAGTGTTTCCCTATATACCTAGGAAAACTAGAAACAAAACCTTACTCAAGGTAAAGCTTAAGTATGATTTCTTATCTGATCATTTACATGCATCCCCCATTGGATTCTCAGGGAGCCCACACTGCATATATCTTCTTGCCCCCCTCCTTCCCCCAAAGGTGCATGCTTACCAGACTAAAAATCCTTCCTCATCTACTTAAAACCAGGAGAATATTGTCTCTGTTTTCATACAAATAGCCTTCCTGTTCCAATGGTAGGGTTTCTCCTTTTAAAATGTAAGTTTGTCATTGTCTGGAAGGGCCTATTTGTGAGTAAACATACTCCTTTGAGATGTCAATTTTTACAGATTACTGCTTTCCAGCCATTTAGGCTCTGAGCCTCTCCTAGGTGCCAAAGAAATTCATTGTTTGTCACTTGAAAGTTGTTATCATATTGTGCAATCCTGGTCGTATTATAACACATGAGAAACACATGTTATAGCAAATACCACAGTGCATATAAGCATGGAATAATAAAGCTAAATACAGCTTGGCACTATCTATTGGTAGAGACTACACATGCCATATCAGTAAAACACCCGCAAGAAACCACATGTGACATCCCACGAATCCCCCAGAATGTAGTGAGGTTCATGACACCCACCATAGCTGCTATTTCTGCCAGGCAGCTTTCCCATATAGACACGCCCCAAATAAAGAAAAAAACAAAATTGCTTGGTGTGGTGGGACAATGAAATGAAGATCAAAGAGCTCCTTAAGGTACTTTGTTCTTGATAAGTAGTTTGTTTGTTTGTTTTTTAACTCAGTATAGAACACTGTGCCACCAACAGGGCATCAATATTTTTTTTTCTAAGTGCTGAACTCCATCTACAACTAGTGTCATGCTGATTGAAAATAAAAATAAAGTTGCAGTCTAAAACTGAGATGCAAGTCCTCTTTACCCTCTGTAGACATGATTTAATACCTTTCCTATCATGTGAGCCTGAAAAAATATTAAGCTGTATCTTAACTTAAGTGCTATTAAAAAGTTCTTTCTGGTAATATTAAATTAACTAAATAAGCAGAAACATTTTGCCCTATTTCCCCCTCCCTTCTTAGTGTACAAAGGGCCAGAAATGTTGGTATGCTGAAGACTTTTTTACATTTCACTTCAAATACTGTGTAAGATGTGCTAAGTACAAAGTATGGTTTACTGCTACAATTAGACCAGTGGCTAAAATTCTTACCATAGGTAAGTTGGAAGAAGTGAAGAGGAAGTTAGAGGGAAAAGAAATAGCTGGATTTCTTAAATGTAAACTTCATATTGCAGTTTTTAAGCAACTATCTTTTATCTAAATAGATTTTATTGAATGCTTTATCTCATCTGAATTTTCAGATAAATAATGCTTTATTTGGCATACTTTTTGTCTTAAATTGATATCCATCAAAATTGTTTCTCAAACACAGGGGAAAGGTAGTTTATGGTCATATATATAAATCTTGTTAAGAAATTTGTTTAAGCTCATTCTGAAACTTTAAAAAATGAAAACAGTTCAAGTAATTTCTCTTGCAGCTAAAATTAAATATGCTGAATTGAATTTATATGTGTGTCCTGCTTCCTTTCTCCATTAATATTTGGAAATTCCGTATTACTTTGCATGTAAAGAATTCAAGAAGTTTAAGGTAGTGGAATTCCAATTTTAGATAGAAAAACCCAGGTACAATGAGGACAAGTGTTGTCCAGTTAGACAACAAATCACTGATAGAATTAGAGAGACAGAACCCAGGTCTTCTGTCTTTTGTTCATGCCCAGTCACTGGGCCATCCTCCTAGGTACCTTTTAGGATCAGGGTCTATGGTGAATGAGTGGATGAATATGTGTGATGTATGGCTTACCTCTCCCGTTTTGCAACCTCAGTGGTGGTGGTATTTAAGCCTTGTTCTAAAACTATGTGAACTTCTTTTGGACATCTGACTTGTTAAGTTATGAGCATATTTTCACTGCATATTAACAGGCATAATGTAATAATGAGCAGCAACTCCTCCTGTTAGCACTTGATAAAAGATGCTGACAATATTTTGGTGTGAGAACGTGGTTAGTTTTTGATTGCTCCTCCCAAGTGTTCAGGAATTGCTGTTTGTATATAGATTTTTTTCTTAATTACGTTTGCAGTGCATACGGATAAACTTATTTAAATATACTGGGTGACAAATATGCTAAATGGTAGTGAGAGGACCTGAGCTTTAGGCTATAGTAAAATTCTTGCTTCCTGACTACACAGTGCGTCTCTGTTTTAGATATCATGTTTTCTTTCCTGGTCAGATCCTAGTAGACAACTTTGCCTTGAATCTTTATAGAGTTTAGAGAGTGGTCTCTGTCTACTAAATCGCATTCTATTGACTCAGTATTTTAAAAGATTATATAAAGAGACAAAATTTAGTAAGATAGAACTGGTCACTATTTTTTTAATATATACTTCTTTTAAAAATACTACAACAAGGTTGACATAGAATGATTATCTCTTGATGCTCCCTAAATGCCAAAATGGAGCTGAAACATTATTTCTGTAAGGGATATACAATGCTGGCTTTCTCTCTCTCTCTCTCTCTCTCTCTCTCTCTCTCTCTCTCTCTCTCTCTCTCTCTCTCTCTCTCTCTCTCTCTCTCTCTCTCTCTCTCTCTCTCTCTCTCTCTCTCTCTCTCTCTCTCTCTCTCTCTCTCTCTCTCTCTCTCTCTCTCTCTCTCTCTCTCTCTCTCTCTCTCTCTCTCTCTCTCTCTCTCTCTCACACACACACACACACACACCCTGAGAGTGCTGGAGCCCTGCTTAGGTGACAGGTGCGGGGAGGGGGCAGGCAGGAGCACCGGTGCCCCCCTGCGAGTGGCAGCTGGGGAGTGGGGGCACCAGGAGGAGCACTGCTGGTACTTCCAGGTGCCCTGCTTATGCTTCCTGGCTAGTTGGGGCTGCTTCCATGCTGCCCCTGACTCAGGAGGTACCAGTTGCCCATGAGGTAGCTGTGCTTCCCAACTGCTGAAATCCAGCTAGGTCCCAGCCCCCAGCATCCTCAGCTGTGGGGTTGTGGGTCCCCATGCTGCCGGGGCCCAGAATTGGCAACCACTGGAACTGAGAGTCCCAAGCGGTTGCAGGACTTATGGCCCTGACTGGAAAAGGCACACCCCTATGTCTGGAAGCCTCATCAGTAATGGGGCTCCCAGCCACAGGACCCTGCTACAGATGCAAATTAAAGCTCAGTAGCAACCAGCTATAAAGTTAGTACACATTTTCGAGGTCTAACTTTATAGTTGGTTAGAGCTTTTTATGGCATGATAAGTACTTTGCATGTGAAGCTCATCTCCAAGTAATTGCTCTGTTAACCAGTTAATTGTGTGATACCTGTAATGTCTAATAAATTTCTGTTGTCATTAAGATGGAAATTGGGTGAGAGAGAGGGGTGAGACACCTAATACACATGGCAAAAAATATATAAAATTAGCTGTTTTTTATCTTTCGATTGCTTTATAAGACCTGGCATCAAAACTAGCTTTCAGTGACTCTAGTATTGATCTATAAAATAGGTTATTGAATTTGATACATGTCACTTTTTCACTGTTCAAAAGCAGTAATTGTTTATTTATTTATTTTATTCTTTCCCTCTGCAAATGTAGGCATTTCAGTAAGACTATGGAGGAGCTAGTTCACGATCTGGTCTCAGCACTGGAGGAAAGTTCAGAACAAGCCAGAGGAGGTTTTGCTGATACTGGAGATCATTCTCGTAGCGTGTCTTGTCTTCTAAAACGTCAGGCAAGAAAAAGGAGGGGGCGGAAAAGACGTTCGTTTACCGCTCATCATCCTTGGGAAACTGGTCACTGTTTAAGTGAAGGTTCTGATTCCAGTCCAGAAGAACTGAGTAAAGACTACAGAGAGAATCATGCTAATAAGAAAGACCACAGTGACTCTGATGACCAGCTGTTGGTCGCTAAACGGAGGCCTTCTTCAAACTTAAATAATGTTAGAGGCAAAAGACCTCTATGGCATGAATCGGATCTGGCTATGGACAGTTTAGGAAACAGAACCTTGCGTAGGAGAAGAAAGGTGAAACGCATGGCAATAGATCCACCACCAGAAGTTTCAAGTACGCTGACATTGACCCAGCAGCAGGATAACATCAGGGATCAGGAAATGGACAGTGACAACAGATTTTACCAACATCAAGAGTTTGCCAAGAGCAAAGTGAAAAAAAGAAAAATAGCTGCAACTAGACAAGGACCAGAAATCTTGGATGAAGGAGTGGTCATAGAAAATGAAGAAGTGAACCAGGCAAATAAAGAAAAAATGGAGTATGAAGAACAAAAGGGCTCAGATGAGAACATGAGTGACAGGTTGTGTGTTATCTTTCTTTTGTACCAAATGAAAGTTTTTTGATTTATTAATCTTCACAGTGAAGGTGAAGCTTTGATTCCTTTATTCCAGATGTTTTAAAATACAATCTATAACAATGTTTTTTTTAATAAGTAAATGCTAGGAGTCTTTCCTTACCCAGTAATACTACTTCAGACGTTGTACAGTGTCAGATTACTTGGGTGTTGAAATACCATGCAAGGGGAAGCCTGATAAGTGATAGGATAGCAACAAAACAAATAGTTAATTCAAGGAAAAATCCCTACAAATCACTTCAGAATTAAGGAAATTGAGTTAATCATTGTTTTTATGCTAGGTATGTCAACTAGTGACAGTTTTCAGTCAGTGTCATGCAAGGTAATTGATTAGCTCAGATTTTCTAACTTCTAGGTACTGGTAGTATGGTTGTTTTTGCTATACATCAGAAGGTTATCAGTGTTTAGATGCACCAGTTACACAGTCTGTGCCTGTGTGTCATGGGCATAAAAAGTCTGCAGGTTGCTGAGAGTACACATCATTTATGAAATGCAAAAACCAATTTACAGTTCAGAAACACCTGAGCTTGCCATTAGAAAAATGGGGGAATGATGACCCTCTAGCAGTGTGCCTCATCCATCCATTCCAGACAGCAGGCATACCACAATGGTAATTGTTTCCAAAGTACTATTTTGACAACAGAGAAAGGTGTAAGTCATTTTTCCACAACATACAAGTGATGTTACCTGCAGGGTCTGATGAGCCCGATCATGTGCATAAGATTTTGAATGCATAAATATCAGCAGGGAAACTCCTATTAAAACATAAGTTCTGGCCAGTCTTAGGGCTTGACAGCAACAACGTTCCCACTTGGTAGTAGCTGTCTTATCTTTTGAAGTGCGTTGATCTTTTTTTGTGCTTATTAGACACTTGGTTTAAATGCACATATCTCATATATACATAGATGCTTGCCAAGGGAAAGATGATAACTTGTTTATTCAGTAACTGAAGTATTGTTAAATGACTAACTCCAGTTATTGAATAATTGTGAAGGGAAAAAAAGTACTGTATACTTTTGTGGTCTATTTCCTAAGAACTGTTGACAGTTTAAATTGCCATATGAATCCCAAGTCACATATTTATAGAAAAGAATTCTCCCTCCCCCCTATTATCTTTAAAATGGCATTGGACCAGAAGCAGCCCTTACTGGGCCCTTTGTGATTGAAATTCATTCAGGGTTCACTATCTCTGTCCTGTTCGCTTGCAAACTGTTATGGTCTTGAATTTTAACTGTCATTTTAAAATGCCTTAAAATGTACCATGCAAAGGTACAAATTCTACAGGGATAGGGTTACCATACTTTCGGGTTTTCTCGGATATGTCCTGTTTTTGGGTCCTCCCATCTCCATCCAAGTGGTTTTTTAAAACATCAGCAAATGTCCAGGATTTTGCTTGGGGCAGCGAGGGAAAGA